AACGAACCAACGAACCAACGAACCAACGAACCAACGAACCAACGAACCAACGAACAAACAAGCAAACAAACAAACAAACAAGAACAATACAATCAAAAAAACAATACAATCAAAAAACAATACAACCAAGAAACAACACAACCCAAAAACAGTACAATCAAAAAACAACGCAATCAAAAAACAATACAATACAATACAATACAATCCAATCCAATCCAATCCAATCCAATCCAATACAATACAATACAATCCAATCAATCAATCAATCAACCAATCAACCAACCAATCAATCAACCAACCAATCAATCAATCAATCAAACAAACAAGCAACCAACCAACCAACCAAGCAAGCAACCAACCAACCAAACAACCAATGGCACAACACAACACGACACGACCAAACCAAACCAACCCAACCCAACCAACCAACAAACCAACAAACCACCAAGGCAAGGCAAGGCAAGGCAACGCAACGCAACGCAACGCAAAGGAAAGAAAAGGAAAGCAAAGCAATGCAAAGCAAAGCAATGCAATGCAAAGCAAAGCAAACAACCACATAAAATTCAACAAATTAATGAACAAATGCAATAGTAGTGTAAAAACATTGCTCAACTGGTTTTAGGGTCCTCACAAACGATGCAAAGAAACAACGATCAAAACCTCAGGCCACAGCGCACCATCTGCCTACGCAACAGCTGAGCTGAGGAATGAGAGGGGACTCTGGAAACTTGGCAGCCCACCACATCGCATCACTTCCTGGGCGTGATCAACACAAGGTTTGGCATGGCACAGTGCCAAGGAATTGGCTAAGGGCCCCTGCACAAGTCGGAGCAAATCTTCGGTTCGAGGGAACTGTTGGGAATGGTTTCGTGCACCTTGGCATTGCAAAGCAAGCCTCCGTCATGCTAAGCATGTCTTTACAGGGACCTTATGAAAGAGGCCCTTGCCTCCTTGCGTTCCTTTCTTTTCCATTAATCTGCATTTCCATTATTGTTGAGTGCATGTGGCTCATGGGGCGCCCTGGCCCAGTTGATTCGGCTGATTGTCCCGACTCATGGGATGGCGTGGCCTGGATAGATCAATATCTTGCCTATCCAGCATACTTCTGCGACCTGCGTTTGGAACGTTATTGAAAACAATGTCCGATTTTCGGACATCAATGAGGGGCCTGAGATTCCGCAATGCCGCCAGTTCTCAAATTCCTGCAGTACACCACCATTTGAGAGTTGACCAATACACGACTGACTGACATAAGGAAAGTCCCGTACCTCTCATCAAGACTTGAAATCTTGTTCGGCCCTCAGGACACGTCTATTGACCAAACGTATTGACCAATCGGCCTTTGGCAAGTGCAATGGCGCAAGCTGTCTAAGCCCTTTGCGGTGAGCCTTTCCCGGGCGCCATAACCCCCACAAACGTCCCAAAGACCTCAAAACACATCAGAAACCAACAGAATGTTGCACCAATCCTTGTGCAGGAGAGATGCCGCAGCCTTTCAATTACATTTGTGCGGGTTGTTGGGGTTGCTCCGTCACAAAACCTGGCAAACATTGCCATTTGTGGTTCCCCTACAACTACAATTTGTGCACCAAACAATTTTGCCTCGGCAAAGTTTCATCATGAGCCTGTCCTTGCTCGACGCTACCTGCCCAGCAGGCACGAGCAGGTGTTGTCAGAAAATGCCGGCGGCCTGGCCTGATCGATGCTCCTCATTGCAGCCGAGAGGTGCCAAATGGACCTGGCAAATACTCCCTTAAAATCCGTGGACTGGTGTATTCTCACCTAATAAGGCTGCACCTAGCCACAATTTGGGTTTCACCACCCATAGCTGTAGCTAATCGAACATGAAAAGGCAAAAAGTGCCCCACTGCCACAATTGGCAAAGCTCTGCAACGCTACCCGGGCAAAAGCCACAGCACAGCGCCTCCGCAGTTTGGCCTTCACCCGCTGCCATGAAGCCTGGGCCATGTGCATGCATCCAACCCACCATTCATCGATGATTCCTTCTGGTAAACCGGTGAGCCTCTTTGTCTGTACGCTACCACCAACCATGTGTTTTCCATCAACTACTTACTGCCCGAACCAAAAGGCCGCCGATGGTGGACAACAGTGCAATGATTGAATCTGCACATTACCTGTCACGGGCGTTCCGCATAGCGCCTACGTAAATTCGACGAACAGACGTTTTGCGGAGCACTGGGCCCAAAACTGCGAAAGACACAACAACTGGTTCCCCACACGTGGGTTCGCAGGGCACTGATTTCACCAATGTTTTTTTCCCTTTGCCGATTGCGATGTGCACACACAACATTTGCAGCCCAAGCCCAAAGTCTGAGCACGAAGATGTGCCAACCTTCTGCCACAGCGAATGTCTTGAAATGAATGTTTTTCAATGGGGAAGTGTGTTTGACCTGGAACCGGTAACATTACAAATGAATCAGGCCGATGAACAATAGCGGTTCGACCCACCTCTTCTTTTTTTTTTGTTTTCGCAAGGGCAACGGGCGCGAACTACGTACAAAGGGAGCTTGCCCTGGCGCCAGGCCCCTCATCCGGGAGGCGGAGGCACCGGCACAACAGTACCCTGCTGCACTACCAGCATCCAGCTTCCAAACTCCACACAAGCACCTTCATGTTTTAAAGTTCAAATAACAAGGGGTATGGGAATCCCTCCTGTCGTTTGAGTTGCTCCTCCTGGGCCAAGCGGTTTTTTGCCGTACAGCCCATTGGCAAACTTTTCCATCAACCCAAAAAAATTAGTTCAGGCGGAGAGTGCGTGGGCATCAATTGTGCACCCATGGCCTTGCAAGCTTGCCGGACAGGCGTTTTGCATGATTTGCGACACGAAACTCAACCCACCAACTCGCTCCAAACAAGGCCCCATGTCACCAATCCAAACATTTTCGGGTCTGCAACAATGCGTTGGGCGCGCAACATTCGGATGTTTTTTTTTTTTTTTTTGTCCGCACGGGCCTCGTCGGTGCTAGGTCCTGCCAGGCTTTGCTGGCCTATGGTTTTTTGTCCACTCAGTCTTTCCGGCTGTCCACTGGTCGCCGCAAGTCCATCATCCAATATGGAAAAACCCAAGGAGAAAATCCAGAAAGGAGAGCCCAGAAAGCGGGGGTGGCACCCGTGTGAGGGTCACCTCGCGCGGGCGCACGGGCCCGACACTTTGCGCGGGCTCGGGTTCGCGGGCTCGGGGCGGCCTGCGGGCTCTTCGCGGGCGCGTGCACTGAGGCAAGCTTGCAGATTTTTTGGATTAATTTCATGCGTGCCCGGTGTGGTGTGCCTAATGCCGGTCAATATCAATACTTTTTTCTGACTCTTTGAGTTGCCCTCCGCTTGGCCCAACACAAACAATCGGCAAGGACCAGCCAAAGCTGACCAAACGACATGATGATCATTGTTGCACAATAAGGTTTCAGGCACAATCTGACAGCATGTCCTCCCTGGCATGACATGATGTCATTTTTGGCCTGAGACGAGGGCTTGTTTTTTTGCATAACCTGACGTCAGCCCTGGCAAGACATGATACCATTCTGGGCATGACCCGATGCCATCCCTGGCATGATATGATGTCATCCCTGGCATGACAGGTCGTCATCCCTGGCATCACATGATGTTATTCCCTGGCATGATGTGATGTCGCCAGCGAAACGCCGATCCAGAGCCAGCACCTGCACCAACATCAGCACGGCAGCAGCACCGGCAAAACCAAACGCCGACCCAAAGCCACACCATTGAGAAATTAGATGAAATTAGAACCCCTAGGCTGTTGTTTTTTTTCAAAATCGCACGGACCCTCACACTAGGACCATGACCGCGTAAGCATGCATATCATAGCGGCATGAATGGGCCATCCGTTGAATTCTATTTAAAAAATTGCCTATAAAGATTGAAAGCCATTTTGAACTCAAGCCCCCAGATTCTACAGGGGACCTTTGGTAGAGGATGGTTTGGCCGTATTTGCGCCAAAACGCTAGGGTTGGCACCACCACCCCTAGAAGTCGAGCCGCCATTTTGTTAATAGCCTTCACCGAACCACCATTCTTTTACTAAAGGTTTTTTTACAACAAAGCCAAATCAACCATTTTGACACTGGTCTTTGACTTCCAGGGTTACGTTTCGATGCCACAAGTGTTGCCACAACGCTCGCCTCACGGGCAACATTGCATCCTCAATCCTTCGGATTTCTCGCGCAAACCTAAACATGTTCCAAGGTTTGTGCGGGGACCTGCCCAGGCTCCGGACCAACCCATCGGTGAGCAAAGGGCCAGGATGATCTGCTGATCAAAGCGTTGTTGATCTGGAGGTGGACGGTGGCTCATTCTTAATCGGATGACAAAATTCCGCTGGTCCAAGCGCTAATGATCCAACCATCGCATATCCGATGGCCCGCTGGAGGTTATCAATCCGTTGATCGCTTGGCCCGAAAAACCAATGGAACACCTTGTGGTTCCATGACACCGTGATGGTCAGATCCGATGTTGCTTATCCGATGGTCCACTAGTTCGTCCGAAAATCATTCCGACAGGATTGTGCATCTGGCAACCTGCTGCAAATCCGCTTGGCCCCATGATGCGCATGGCGCATTCAGCCAGGCGGAGTGTGGAATTGATCTTTCTTTTCGCACCTCTCTGCTGCGACCGGTTGGCTGCGCAAGCGAGCACAGCGTTAGCGTACTCCAACGGTCCGTGAGCGCCCGGACAGGCGCTTGCCGGAAGCTGCGGCTGGGCGGGCTGGATGCAAAAAGCGGTGGGAAACTACGCAGCAACCTTGGTGCGCGTCACGCTGGTGAGATGACATGTTCATGGTGTAGCGTTGACATGCTGCGACTCGGCCACTTTAACTACATTGACGTCCTGTCACGCTAGAAGGTTTTCAGGGCGAGGGCTAACAAAAATGTTGTCACGTTGCGCTGACATGGTGCCATTTTGGCAGTTCGAATTGTATAAAAGCCGCTGACTCGTTGCCGGCCGATTTGCTGGCCCTGTGCCACGCCGAGGTGTTATCAGGCTGTGACGCTGACATGTATTCATATTGAAGCCGCGCTACCATGCAAACATGCTGTCGCGGTTAGCGGCTGCTGATGCTGTCGTGCTGACAACGTGGCAAGCTCCAGAACCCGTTACTAAGCAGGTTCTGTGCGCACTGTGGTGGTTTTTTCTTCTTGCGGCGTTGCCATGCTCGCACCTGTGTGGGCACATGTGTTATGCCGAGGCATTGCCGTGTCGTGACGCTTGCATGGCACAGTGGCTGCAAAGCCACGGCACTCGGACCGGTGGCGGGGGCCACACGGCGGAAAGTGTCGCCAGGCGTACCCACTGCGCGGCGAAGGTGGGGAGAGCCTGCGGCATTGGGAGGTTGCACAAATGCTTGCTGCTTGCTGTGAGGGCGTGTGGGTTCATGCCTTGACTGGGTTCCTCACACTGAATCACCAAACACCAAGTTGCACTTCGCCAAGTCCGTTCATCACCCTTCGCGATATCACAACGTGTTGCTTCATTTGTTCCAACGAGATGAATTTTGATGTCGCAGTTCGTTTTCATGCATTGCTCAGTGGTCCCACACACAGGCGAACTGGCCCCTCCACCTGGACAGAATGGTTCAGGAGCAGTGATGGCGTCTTTAAAATGCATTACGCTGTGGAGGTTCGAAAGTGGCGGATTGGCATCAAAGCGGAACTGCATGGCAGCAGCCGCAAATAAACCGAATGTCGTTGTGGGTGTTTGTCTGAAAAAGACGAAGACGGCTCCAGCAAAATGAGGCTAATCACCAACGCTGCCATTCCAAAGCCGCGGCTGTTACAGTGCCACATGCGCGCGGTCCGTGGTTTCTCTAGCACGAATTTGGGAACATGCTGCTGGTGTTATGGCAGAAGTCTTTGCTTGCTGGCCAACAACACTCCCAGGAGCATCTTGCTGGCCAAACGACGGCGAGCACTCCTGCAAAAGTGCAGCAACCAGAGCGGGAGGCTGCATGAATGCAAGGACCTTTGTTGCTTTCACTGGCGGTAACACCACACAATCCGTTGCAAGGTTGTTCACAATGGGGCTGTAAGTTTGTGCTAATTACTGGTGATGTTCACCAGCGATGAAGCAGCAAGCTCTGACCTTTGAAGTGTTGCGAATCTGTTTCGCTAAGTTCCACTCTCTTGCTGAATTGTACCTTTTAACTTAGTAACAAAAGGTGGGCTTGAACAGCTGGTGAACTGGTGATGGCTTCTTTGCAGTAGGTGCACATTTGCATGGCTGGCAAAATGGTTATTTTGACAGTGCGCTGTGCCGAGTGTCCGGTTTGATGGCAGTCCCTGTTTCGTGATCCCGAGCAGCAGCCCTTTCCAAAGCAACATGGCGATGCACGGAAGGAGAGGAGGGCCCAAAGTAGAGTGCAATCACCCAAAGGCCGAAAAGGAGCGGAAAAACGGATCGCAACGGGGAGGAGGAAGCTGCGAAGAAACAGCAGTTCAAATCTCTGATAGCTCGGGCTTCGCTTTGAGAGTCTCGAGGGCCTGGTTGGTGTCAGAGGATCTCAAAGACTCAGAGTCAGAGGTCCTTGACTTTGGGGTGGGCCGTTCTTGCAGAGCAGGCGTGAATAGTTGCACTGATGAAGAGCTGCACGCTGTCCAGAACTTGTGGCAAGTAAGGTCAACAAACAACAACACTGAAGCGTAAGCATGCCTGTTTTCACAGAAGCACTCAACACCAAACGCACATTGAAAGTTTGCATCCCCACTATCTGTGGATGAGCGTTCCCTTCAGGCATAATCGCGGTCATTCATCGGCTTCCACCGCCAGGACATCAAAGTAGTGACGAGTTGTGACGACTGGCCATGTGGAGATGTCCTGGAGGTGGGGTGCAGTTGCCAAAGGTGTCCCTAAAGTGATGGCTATCTGCAATTGCAAAAAAGGACCAGCTTTGAGACGTCATAGAGAGAGAGCATGAACACAGCTCTTCCGCACGCCATTTGATTGCTATTAGGCTTTGAGGCCTCTAAGCCGAGGCCATCACCCTTCCGCACACACATTCACACTCAACACAGCTCTTTCGCACCCACTCTTTG